GTACTAGCTATAACCAATATACTAATAAAGACTTGAGGGCATGACCTCACCTTAACAATTAAAAAAAAAAAAAAAATTTATTTATAAATTATTAAATCTATCACTTAATTTTAATTAAAAAATTTCATCTATATATATTAATTATATTATATAATTTTATTTAATACAAAGTTTTTTGGTTTTCTACTGCACTAACAGATTATTATATGTATAAAAAAGAGTTTGTAACTCATATTCTAAAATTTCTATTGTGGTCAGTTTTGTTTTAAGAGGATTTCTACTATTCAGGGTAGTTTTTTGAAAAAAGTATGAAATATGCATATGAGTTTTTTTTTTACTGCACTACAAGAAAATGCTTTTAATCCTTATTGGCAATGTTTTGATGTAACTCCCACCTATAAAATACCAAAAAATAGATATAGAGAGTTATATGAGTTGGCAAATAAAGACCTTTTATGATATTATTTGGATTTTTTGAATCCTTTTCGTCAGGTTTTAAAAAAAGTTTTAACTATTCAATTGCTAAATTTTTTAAATATAAAGAATCACTATTTTGGTCACATATTGCTTTATACAGATCAATAAATTTGTTCTATAAAGATCAAATTAACTTGGCCCTACTTAGATAAAAAAAGATATTTAAATTAAAATATTGTAATACTTTAACTTTGTTATTACTGGTTAATAATATATTTTTCCATATATCAGATTCTTTTCAAAATTGAAATTTGATATCGAGCTGATTCATTTCATTTACAATAATTTGATAACTAATATCATTGAATAGATTTTTCTCTTTGATTTCTGATAACATTAATGTCCAAAGCTGATTTTTAACTCATAACAATAAATGCAACTTATTGAATATGTAGTTACACAAAGGAATCATATCAAATAATGATGGCTTAATATGACCAGAAATATTAAGATAATTATTTTTTAAATCGGTCATTGATTTTGTAATTCACCAATCTTGCATTACATTATCAATGTCATGTTTAGAACAGAAACACCAAGTACAAAAATGATTAGAATTTGCAGCATTTAATCTGAAACAGATTGCAAAAAACTTCCAATCACTACTAAAGTATAACTTAAACCACCATAATATATTTGTGACCTCTAATTCATTAGATTTAAGATCTTTAAGATTATTAAGAAATAGGCTTAATATAAATTTAAAAGATTCATATTTTTTGATTCCTGAATATATAGCAACTATATAATGATAGTTAGGTATATAGCAATGTTTTTGATTATTAAGAACTGTAAATGTAATAATAACATGCTTAACTTTTCGACCAACATTCTACCCATCTTCAGAAATCTGCAAATAAATTATTAGATCATTAACTAATAATATATTTTTTTGCAACAAATAAGGAATTAAATATTGAAGTATTCCTTTACAATCATGCTACCTACCTATAGTTATAGAATTCATAATGTTATTTTATGTCAGAATCTAAATTATTAGATTTATTATCTATATTATTAAATTCTTCATCTATATTATTAAAATCTTTGTCTGTTATTATTGTATTCATATTAATAAGTTTAATTAGAATGTCTTTAGCCATTTTTTGAGTTAGGTTATTTCATTCATTTATAATAATATATTCACATAGTAGATGGTAATTTGTTGCCATCAAATTTCGATAAGCATCTTATAAAATATAACATGTATCTATTATTCTAACTATATTTAAAATTTTAGCTTTTTTTTGTATATGATCATTCTTTTCAAAATTAATAAGATAATTTTAATTATTAATAGTATATTCAAATAATTTTAATTCAATGAAATCTTGATCATGATACTTGGATTTTGTGTTTTGAATAAAATTTTCTTTGATCATAATTCCAAGTTCTGTTGCATGTCTTTTAAGTATTTTTGGTGAAGATTGTTTAGCAGATTTAATCATATATTTATTATAAGATTTTCTAACTTTATTAAGTATTTGAAGCTGTAATCCAAAGAGTAGTGGCCCAGATAAAAAACTATTTTTGTTTGAATTTACAACCTACAAATAGAATTTTAACTTATAAATATTATGTAGCATCTTAATCAGTTTCATAAGCAATTTAAAAAAAGCAATTGACCATTAAAGGTAGCTATATACAAACTCAATATGTGATGATCATATGATATTTTTTAAAATATTTATATTAATACTATACATTATTATACACTGTTGCAACTTTACTAATTGACTTATTTGATTTAAGTACATGTTCAAAAGATAGGCCAAATAAGATTTGAAATTCTGGATGCCCATCCTTATAATCAATTTTATATTGGATTGTTTGTTGTTTTTTTCTGTATCTTCATGTGGTTTTTACAAAATAGTTATCAAGAATTAGATATTCTTTAGGAGGTAATATATAACAAAATATAGAATAATATTGATAAGATCCTTCAGCCATTATGAAATAACTAAAAGACTGCTATGTAATATTATTTTTTTTTTCTTTATATGTGATTACACAATTCTTAAAATAATCTCCCAATTCAGAAGTTTCAATATCAATATTGCAATTTAGATTATTTAATTGAGTCAACATGATTATAGTAATTAGACAGTAGGTATAGATATTAGATATTGTTTATTGATTGAATTGAACAGTCACTTTCTAATATTTATATTTATTTTGCATGAATTATACAATTTATATTGTAATTGTATTTGTTAAATAATTTCAGTATGATAAATTATTAGCATGATCAAAGGACAATAAATCATTAATCTTGCAAAAAATTAGTGCTATAGATTATTAGTATAACTAAAAGACAAAAGTAATATATTATCATTATTTGCAAAATCATAAACAGTAATAGGATTATAGAGTTAAAAAATAGTGATACTTAATTGACATATTTAATAATTTATTAAGAATCTAATATTTTTGATAAATTACAACATATAATATTTTAATTTTTAGTACTCTTAGTCTTATCACTAATCATAAACATTTGAAATAATGATAATAATTACCTCAAAATCGATTGTACTTAAGCAATTAATAGTGATAAGATCCATAAATTTGAATATAAAAAATTTGAACATATGAAAAAAGATTATACTATATATCAAGTTTATGACAATAGCAATATATGTGTTATAGTGTTTGTGCAATATATATATAATTTTTAAGTTACTAACTGTTCTAAATTAGTATTAGATTATATTTTATATAGGATTCAGGTAATAAAGTATCAAATTCGATGATCTAGCATGCATTATTATTAAGATTGCATGTTTTTAGTGATCATTAATGAAGAAATTTTAAGTACACGATATATAAAATCATGACCACGATAGTTTTTTTAAGACTATATACAACAACAATCATATTGGTTTCTTTAGACAATTAGTTATTTAACAGACCAAATCCTCAATTAAAGCT